AAAATTGCAATTTAATTAAAAAAAGAAAAACTTTGCTCCTCCTTTTTCTAGCATTAAGAAATAACACCATTAACATTCCCACGGTGACATGCAAGCGATGAATGTACAGCATGTTCCATAGAAGACTAATGGATTTGAACTGCGTGTGATTAGGTTTTTTACAACCTGTCAACAAAACATCCAAAGGATTCTGCCGAAACTTTTGCTGATATCTTCATAAAGGGGCGTCACCAAAGTCAGCTTATAGACGTGGACGGGGCTTCTGAGGGTTTTTTTTTTTTTTTAGCACTAAAGAGGTTTGAGCCATCCTCTGCAATTTTATTTAAATGATCTTCCTTTAACAATCATTTCTGAATATGCTCCAATATTTGTTTTATTTATGTCCTTCACAACTTTTCTGCACAGCATGGCACAAATATTTTATACATAAAGTGCTCTAATCTTAACTTTCAAGGTCTCCTTTAAAGCCGCATTGTGTTCTCTCATCACTTTACATACTGTTTCATCTTTCCGTGGTACACCTGCCTTCTGTCGTCCCCCCTTCCTGTTTGTTTTTCATCTCTTTGTAAAGCACACAGTAAGTTTGTTGAAATGAATTCCTAATGGAGTCTTTTAACTGTATATTGGGACTTTTTTTTTTCTTCTGTTTGAACCACGAACCCGTTCGGTGCTTAGAACTTGCTCCACTGCATTTTGAACTTATTGTTTTTCAGATTCAGAAGTCGACGGGGCCGTTTCGTGTTACACAGATAATATACATCTCTGTGGCACCTCGTGAGTTATGACAGTGTTTGCAGGTGTAGCTGTGGTATTTATGGATGTATTTTGAGAGACAGCTACTGTGTGTCAGAAGGCCTTAATATTAGGCAGATTCAAACATATTTCCGGTGCAGACAGAAACGCAAATGTCAATGGGATTTTCGCTCATTCATTCAGCCGTTTATTTATTTATATGGCTACTGCAGATACTAATCTTGCTTTGCACCTTCTACTTCCAGTACAGAACCTGGCTGAGAGTCTTGCAGAGCTGAACTACTGTGTCTGCTTCTGTTTTTGTGCAGCATCTCTATGTGTGGCCCTGAGAGCTCAAGGCTCTGCAACAAACATCTTTACCAATTTCTTAACACAGATGCAACAGTTACCAAAAAAAATGGTGCAAAATAACAAAACAAACACAGAAACCTACTGCAAGTACATAAAAAAAAACCTGAATGTTAAAACAAACAAGGAGTCCCTTGTTTGCTATTTTCCAACACTGTTCCTGTTGTAGTTTGTGGTATTTGCAGCTTGGTTGTTTTCTGTATTTTGTTGTGGTTTTTGTATTTAGGTGTGCTTTCTCTATTTGGTTATTCCTACATTTAAGCATGTGTTTTGTATTTGGCTGTGTTCTCTGTATTAGTGTTTTTATTTCGTTGTGCTTGCTGTACGTCCATCCCTTTTTTCTTTTTTTTAATAAATGCAGCGCCCCTGGTGGTGAGTTGCTGTTTTGCTCCCGTCATCTGATATGCCTTTAAACAGATTGAACTTTTACTCTACTACTTCACTTTCTGTAAACTTGTACAGACACTACAAAGTCTGGCTCATCTGTCTTCCACCAATGCAGCCTCCTGCGCTGTTTTAATGCAGGGCTCTGTTCAGCGTCGTGTCTTAGCACAAAGTACTGAGATGTGTTGTAATGTTGTTTAAAGTACAGCCTCCTGGCTAGTCTAGAATAAAAAGAAGACAGAGTGAACCAAACAGTGAAATCAAACATAACTGCGGCTCAAACAGAGCCTCAACTTTTTAATCTTTTATCAACTTGTTTTTCTCAATCTTCACAGATACAGATATGTGAACAGCGTGCTTGAATGACTCCATGTACGTGATTTTCTTCCCAGGCCTCGTCTACTTCAAGTGCAATTGAACAAGCATCCATCAAATGTAGTGCTAAGCAACATACATGCTGTGTAATTTGGTATTCAGGTCACACTGCAAGGCAAGATCATGGTGTTCTCAGCCTCTTTTGTACTTTTCTAAATATTCAGTAATGTGAGATTTTCCCAGATTTCAACAAAGAAAGGTCCTAAGGAAAGGTTTTGTTGTTCTTGCCAGTCAGCCGCCAACTCATGTTGCAACTAAAAGGATTTTTTTTCTTCTGAAATAAACTAAACAATCAATAAAAACCAAGCTACAAACAGGAGTTTCTAATGTCCATCCACCCATCCATCTATTATCTATACACCGCTTAATCCTCACTAGGGGGGGCTGGAGTCTATCCCAGCTGACTTAGGGCCAAGGCAGGAGACACCCTGGACAGGTCACCAGTCTATCACAGGGCTACACTTAGAGACAGACAACCAAGCACACTCACATTCACACCTTCGGAAAATTTAGAATCACCAATTAACCTCAACATGTTTTTGGACTGTGTGGCAGGAAGCCAGAGAACCCAGAGAGAACCCACGCTGCACGGGGAGAACATGGAGACTCCACGCAGAAAGAGTCCGGTGCCCCCATCTGGACGCGAATCGGCGACCTTCTAGCTGCGAGGCGACCAACTGCGCCACCTTGCAGCCTGGAGTTTCTAATGTCTCATCGAAAATGTGCAGGTAAGACAAGCAGCACAAAAACCACCCAGATAGTGTGTATATATATTTTTATTGATCTAAATTCAACTTACTGCAGTTAATAAGAGAAAACAAAAATCTACCAAGTTTTGAACAGGATATATCATCAATAAAAATCTGAGTACATTTTAATTCTGAAATTTTGTTTCAGAAAACAGATTTTAAATCAACAAAATCATCAAATACAGATAAAGAGAGCGAGAACAGCAATGTTTCCCCGAGTTCAGTTATGAAGCCATGACGCAGTTCTGGATCTGCTGCATTGTCAACTATTTAGTAATGAATCCCTGAAACACAAAGAAAAAAAAACATGGTTATTTAAATATCACACAGCATGAGATCGCAGCCAGTTTCATTCAACTATGTCACAACATGAACATCACTCTTGCTTTAATTTGCAATCGTTCACAGACTGTTTGTTGTAGTTTGAGCACCCAACTTACCAGCAAACATATTTCTTGACATTTAAAAAATCTCATTGACAAAATTTATTTCAGCAGCTTGACAGATTGTATAAAATTAGATGTTCCCCCCCAACTGCGCCACATTAAGCAACAGTCTCTCAGTGTGGTAAGATTTTGTCTAAGTTTCCCACATATGAAGATGTTCAGTGTTTTTGGGTAACATTTAGTGCAGAAGTGTTGTGTGACATTATTACAGTAAACCCTTCTATATACAGGATTTTGCGTCGCTAACTTCTTTCTGGTTTCCCATTCTACCAAGTTCAACTGTTATTGTTGTGAGCATCACAGTAAAGTGGTTGTTCGCCTTTTTGACAATGACAGGTGGAATTACCAGCGCACTGACAGAGTTTAGAAGCCTAAAATAATCTCTTGGCCTAGTTTCGAGTAAAATATGATGCAATTAACATCAACTGGTCCTTAGTTTGCTGCATCCCCATATTGAGCCACTTTAATTAAAGCTATAATTTGAAATATGCTTATTTGCTTTCTTGCCAAGACTCAGATGAGAAGGCTGACACAAGTCTCATAATACACAGATAAAGTTTAGCACACACTACGGCCAGCTGAACTGTCAAACAGGGAACAAAATGTTCATTCCAGCACCTATAGAGTTCATAATTGAGCACATGTTTTTTTTTTTCTGTAACAAGTCAGAAACGAATGTGTGAAAATGACACATCATGTTGTTGGTGGGGTTTTGTGTCAGGCTATTAATACACAACAACTCTCCTGTCAGTATTTATAATACACACTAATCAGACACATCATTAAAACCAATGACAGGTGAAGAGACGAACACTGATGATTTTGTTAGAGTACAATGTGCTACTGGGAAGCCTTGAGCTCTTGAGTCCTGGCACTTTGACACATACAGGGTCCTTAAACATTGTTACAGACCGAGCACGCTCACCCAAGCCAACTCCAGAACTGCAGACACGTATTAAGAAATTAAACTGATATCATTGTTCTCATCAAATGATCAGCGGGAAAGTGAATACGCTGACACCATCAATTTTCAAGTTGTTGCTCATTCAGCTTTTGATAGTTTGCTTTGCTTTGGGGCCACTTTTGCAAAAATGACTGACGGTCAAGGGCCAGTTAAAAAACAAACAATAATATTTATCAGATAAAATTAATAAAAAATGAAAAGACCAGTGGCTTATCTTTCTTAAATTGACTCATTTAGTGACATTTAATGAGATAAGTAAACCTTTAAAGGGCATTTCTTGAAATACTTGGAAAATGAACATTTCAATCCTAGGGTGTTATTGAAGGATATTTCCAAATATTTTTACTTTTGTGATTTTAAAAGAAAAAAAAAAGTTGCAAATCAAGACTAATTAAGTTACCATATATGGTAGTTTTCCCGTCTACGATTTTATTTTATTTTTTTTAAAGGGAATTTATAATAAATAAAAGAAATGGCAACAAAAAACATGTATTGGGAAACATTTTAGTTTGAGGTAATGATACACAACCAGTAACAAAGTATTTATAAAGTACTTGGTAAGTTCATTTAATAACATTTTTCTTGGGGTAGTGGTATTAATGGCACTAATTTGAAAAAATAAATTAAAGTGGAGTTCAATGCAAACCAGTAACTAAATGTTTATAAAGTTCCTGGAACATTTGTTTAGTGACAGGTAGTGATACTGGCACTGATATAAAAACTAAATCAAAGTTGTTCTTCAACCTCAAGGAGAGGCTCAGGGTGGACGTATTGAACGTCCAAGGAAGTTACCAAATATGGTCACTTGCCCCATAAAGGGTTAAACACTCATTATATAAACCAAATTTAAAAAAAAAACAAATAAATCATTGCGTGAACTTTTTTCCATTGTGGTCAGCAGGCCAGCTAGCCTCCTGTCAGGCCTGATTTGGCCGATGAGCCACAAGTTGAATATCACTGCATTAAATGTGTAGTTACTTGCCTTTTTTTTGGTATTTTAAATCAGGCTGTCAGACTTTATCTGATAAGGAAGAAATGAGAATGTTTACTCAGAATTATGGGACAACTTGTTTTGGAGAAAACACAGTACATTGATTATACATTGATTATATATTGATAATAATCATCAAGTATTTGCTTCTGTCACATACACTAATTGATTGTTTGCCTTGAAAGCCGTTGGCGCTCAACTGACTTGATGTTGCCAGTTGAACTGAAGAGACTCAAAGCCAATAATCAGTGTTTGCTGGAGAACAATCTGTGGATCGAGCGTTACAACAGCCTCCAGTCCATCAAACGGAGTTTTGTGTGAACAGTCTGAATGACTGGAGAGGCCTGAGCAATGCTGGCATATTAATGACAGACCCATTTATATTGCTCGGTGACACCAGTGCCAGCTGATTTTCAATAACGACACTCAAAGCCAAAGAGCAAATACAAGTTAATCAAATGAGCCAAAGTCAAATTGCTTCCTTTTCTTTTCTCATTGCTTTGTTATTGAAATGATGATGGATTTAAATTTCATAACATATAATGTGTCTCATAACCACATAGTCTCATAGTAACAGGAGCGTTTTCTCAGAAATATGTACAGTCGGCCTCAAATGTATTCATACGCTTCCATTAAAGAAAAAAATCACAACAGTCACTCAAATGACTAGAAACTGTTAAAAGTAATAATAAATAAAAATTTGCTAAATTATAATTTAGTGAAATAAGACATTGCTTTTGAATTGTGGTTAAAAGAATATTTTTTAAAAAACAAACAAATTAGAGCACCTTGCTGATGAGCAGTGGACCAAAATCCAAATAGCTGTCAACAGGTGCAGAAGTCTGACTGAGAGTTACAGAAAACACTTGATGGCAGTGATTGGCTCAAAGGGCTGTTCAATTAAATATTAGTTTACGGGTCCCATCATTCTTGTTTGTTTGTTTTTTGTTGAAAAAAGCAATGTCATGATTTTCATATTTTTAAAATTTATTATTACTTTTGTCAATTTCAGCTTATTTTAGTGAGAGTTTTTTTTCTTTTCCTTCTTTAATAGGAGTGTATGAATACATTTGAGGACGACTGTCTACACATTTTTTTTTAAGATCATTATCTTAGAATTATGAGTAACTTTGTCAAGCTGACAAAATACAAAATCACAAGTAGAGGAACGTCTACAGTTTGATTTCTCGCCTTACTGAGTGTAAAACATTCACCAGGTGGTGACATTGATTGATGGACCAAACAATCCCACAAACACTTAAATACATCATTGAGAAAAAGTGCTATGAACAGTCCCACCCTTTAAATACGGTGATGAAACTTTACAAAATGTGACAAGACAGTTTGTTGCTTGTGATCAAGTGCCTGTCTAAACTAAGATTCAGGCGTCTACTAGGCGATTTAAACTCCTTAATACATAGTGAATAACTGCTTAAAAGGTAGGTTGGACTCTTTCAAACCCTACTGCCTACATGAAAACTTGGTGCCATTCAAAATACATCCAGACTTTCTGATGTAGTGGGAGATTTACAAAAAGCAATTTGGTGATTGCACTAAAACTGTCTTTCTGGCAAATAGTGCAGATCATAAAGGCGACCTGTTCCAAGTGTATTTTTTTTACTGGAACATTTCCCTTTCTCCTTTAGAACCAGCAGATAGCAGTAAAGCTCCACTCAGCGGGAGCACAATAGTCCTGCATATCTGAGCATACAGTATATGCTGCATGTGCAGAAGGACGTCTGTAGTGCTGAAGCAAATCCCACAAACACTGATCTCCATTATACATTATGTGTTCACACGCAGCAATTCATTCAGTGAGGACTTTAACCAGCTGACGACAGAATCTGTTCGTCATGTTTGAACTCCTCCACACTGACGAACAGCCACGAAACAAACCCACGTCAAGAATAGTTCACGTACCTGTACATTGTGGGGGTTGACCATTCCACCGACCTCCCTCGCAAACAATCGCAGCACTACCTTTTAATTTGAAACCATGGGAACAGGAGTACAAAGCCACCAGTTTGCCAGATGTGGTGGACAAAACAAAATCCCCGTTCTTTATCGTTCCTGGGTAGGCACACTGTTGCAAGTCTGGAATTGAGCGATAAAAGTTTTTTTTGCTTTAATGTATAGTAGAACAATAAAATTCAAAGGAATGATTTTTCAAATAACAGGATAAGGATTAGCCTAACAGTCTCTCAAGCCCACCTAGTCTCTTTTCTCGCCAAGCCTCCAAATTCATTGATGGTATATGATCACAAGAGACATAATCACAGGGGTATGTCCCACGTTGGAAAGAATCGGGGAGGACTTCCCCGACGTCGCTGTTGTCACAGATGAGACGAGACAGAGAAAATTGTAAAAGCTCATTCTTCTGTTGCTGGGTGAATATACCCTCAGCACTCCACCAAAACCTGAAAAATAAAAACAGTTCATCTCAGTATGTCTTTGCTGAAGCCATTATTCCATTTCATTACCTAAAGTGAGCACATTGCAACGTACCTATCACCATCACGGATCATTTTCATCTGTTTTCCAATAAGGCAAGCAAAGAGAGGACCAGTCCTTGCGCCGGGCAGCAAGCTTTCAAGAAGTCCTCCGAGCCAAACATCGATATTGTCCACATGTTTGTATATGTTTAGTACCTTCTCAGCAACCCTGTAGTCTCCCACAACCTCTGCGAGATCTTTCAATGTCCTAACGCGCCTCAATCCGCAGAATTTCCTCCAGTCGTTGTATCCTGAAAATTAATTTCAGTGTTATTTATTAATAGCGAGCATATTCAGCCACATGTTGCTTTCTTGTCAGTTAAGAAGAGGTTTTGTGCGATGAAACTAGAGTTGTTAGTTCAGCCAGAAACAGCTATCTAGTGGTCCAAACAAAATCCCCCCCACCAGCACCTAGAGAGCACATTAATGTTGTATTATGTTTCTGGCAAGTTGTGGTTTCAAGGACTATTTCTACTCTTCACATTGTGACTTCTTGAAGTCTTGCTGTCACTGTGAGGTTTCTTATATCTGAATCCTACTTGAGACTTGTGGAGGTGTCGGTACGCAGGTTTTACAACCTCCAGACAGCTAGACAGCCCAGGTTAGCTGTTGCTCTAGTTTCTACACTTTATACACATTGTACCCTGTCAGACTTGTTTTTAATTGAAGCAGAGCTGGGAACATCATTGTTCTTACTTTTTGCATTCTCCTTACTTTAAAAAAAAAAACCTGGCACCTACATCAATGCAACTTGACCGCAGACAGTCAAATTGGAGATTCAGGTGAGTTACACTACTAATGTAGCCTCGAGCCGCCAGCCTCAAACAGAGATGAAGAGCAAGCTACAGAAGCCTGGACAGCTTCTCTGTAACTCCACACATCCAGATCTTTTACATTTTAAAACTGGTAATCTTCAGCCACATCAGATTTCACACAGGTTCCCCAGGAGCTGTACAAAGCTTTTTATTGCATAAAAAGTCGTAGCCTTCTTCCCCAGACCTGTTAATAGCCTTTGATGTGTAAAGACAGTTGAATTCCCTTTAAACTAGGCAAGGTAAGTTTATTATTACCGCGCCATTCAGACATAATGCAATCCAAAGTGCTTCACAGAGGAATAGAAATGCATTAAAAAGAAGAGCTGAAAAAGCCATTAACACTACATTTAACAGACAAAAACAGAAACGGAATCAAAACCAAGCAAATAAATTGCTAAAGTATTAAAAGAACAGTTTTGATGAGCTGACAGTTTTAGAGGACCTCAGTTATTCAGGAAGCTTGTTCCACATGTTGGGGGCATAAAAGCTGCTTCACCTTGGTCAGCTGTAATTCCTGGAAAACTAAATAATCCTGTCCCAGATGACCAGAGGGGTCTGGATGCTTCATAACATACAAGTAAATCAGAGATGAAGTCAGGCCATCTAGTGCTTTACAGAAAAGTAGTAGGGCTTTAAAAAGTATCCAAGGAACTAGTGCAGCAATCTAAGGACTGGTGTAATGAGCTCTACTCTCTGGGTGTTACTGAGGACTTCTGGATGAGCTGCGGCTGTCTGGTGGACTTTTTACCCAGACCAAGACATTAACATGTTTTTCTATATCTTTTTCAGACAGAACTTCTTTAATCTTACTATATTTTATGGAGGTAGTAAACTGAATTTGTAACTGCCTTTATATGGATGTTACAAATTTAGATCAGAGTCAATAACTCCACCAATGTCTCTGGCTTGAGTTGTAGATTTTAATGCCCCTGATTCAAGGTGACCGCTGACGTCTAGTCTTTCCCCTTTAGGGACAAAATTTAGTTGTTGAGGTTTTTTTGTATTCATTTGAAGAAGAAAAAAACCTAGTACATACACTCATTAATTTGTTTAGTGCTCCCACTCAGCAATTATGAGGGCTCACATCATGACATTGTTATGCAGAGTTGTGTGTCATCTGAATCTGCAAGACGTTATGATGTTCCACTGTTTGAATGTGAGGCCGCATGTAGATGTTGAATAGAAGAGGTCCCAGGATGGATCTTTGGGGAACTCCACATGATTTTTGTTTGTTTAGATTCATAATTTCTAAATGACCCAAAGGAGTCTCTCGCTCGATTTGAACCAATTTAGCGCAATGACAGAAAGCTAGAGTGACAGATAAATGTAATTCAAAGTGCAGTCTGTTGCAGCTGAGATCCAGGAGAAGGTTTTGCACCAAGAAAGCCTCATATTGTTGAAAAACGTCCTTTTCAGTGACTTTCCCTAGAAGAGGTAGATTTGATATAAGAATATAGTAACTTATTATGAGGCATCCAGATTGATTGTTTAAGACAGAAAAGGCCTAACAGAGGAGAACTAGAACCAGAACGACTGAATATCTGTAGTACAACTGATGCTATCAAGGTTGCCAGTAGTAGGCCTATGGAGTTGAACAATTTCTGTCAAGGCATCAAACGCTAAGGAGTAAAATTTGTAAAGTTAACTGAATAGATTTATGTTTTAAAAAAAAGTGACAAAATGGTGAAGTCATTGGCAGACATCTTTGCATGTTTTTTTTCCTGTTTTTACCCATATTTCTGTTTAATTAGTATTTAGCACTCTCCTTAAATATCACACACTGCTGACTTATGACAATGTTGGACAATGCTACAGTGCAACACACGGTATGCACTACGTTGTTTGCTCCACACCAAGACGCCACTTCTTTTGGAGAAGGCCCTCCAGCACAGTGCTCAAGTTAAACCGGCAACTGAAGGAGACCCCTGAAATGCAAGTGACCCTCGAGATTGCTGTGCTCTGCAAACCCACCAAGACATGACCGTCTACTAGTTGGGCAGAGCTGCATACCCCCTCCATTCACTAAGGACACTGCATTGCTACCTCCAGTAAGGCTGAAGGAACAAAATGTGTTAATTGTTGTGGGCAACACCTGGTGTGAAAAAGTACCTCCTCGACACAAGAATTGTTAGATAGACGTGGAGCTGCTGGTATGTTGACCCTTCTACCTGCAAGGGGAACTCAGTGTTGTGTTTTTTACTGAAGTTTACATTCCACCATGCGCTAACTCTCCACCAGAACTATTTACCTCTTGGTGTCATCAGTGCTCAGAAAACAACAAAGCCTGGTGATGTTTTTAGCATCATGGAGGATTTTAACCATCTTCAGGCTGAGCTACCAAAATATTACCAGCACATGCATATTACCACTAAACACAGGGATCACGCATCCAGCAATATCTGTGATGCCTATGTGCTACAGAACTGGCTGATAGTTTGATTTCCATCTTTGATCAGTCCCTTGTACAAGCCATAGGCCCAACCTGCTGAACAATAATACACCTAAGTCACTGGACACCCTACAGTTTGCAAACCCCCCCTTAACAGATCGACTATCTTGGAAGTTTTGCATGTTGCCCTCTTCCACCTAAAAAACAAACTTCCAAACTGTTCACCCTTGGCCTGGACCCCACCAGTCTGTAAATAGCTGTTAGATTTTTTTCCATTGGAAGACTGCAGTTTGTGAAAATTGGAAATCTAACCTCAAATAAAGTGATAATGAACATTGGCATTCTACAAGGATGTGTCCTCAATCCCATGCTCCACAGTCCCCCAAACAGGAGCAACACTATCCTAAAATTTACTGACGACACCAGAGCCTGATCACTGGGGACGACAAAGCCGCATACAGGGTTGAAGTGGCAAATCTAGTAACATGGTATGACAACAAAATCCTCCCTTTCAACACAGGACAGAGATGATACCACTAACAATCTGCAAGTTTGAGGTGGAATAGGCTTTAAATATATGGGCATCTAAACATGTAACATCACACAGCTGGTCAAAAAAGCTCAACAGTGGCTGCACTTTCCAAGGAGACTGGGAATATCCGACATGTCACAGAGGATCAGCCGATCAGAAGATCCGATACGCTCACCCTGCCCCCCCCCACCCTAAACTACCTCACTATATTGGAAACTTCACTCTGCTGCCCTCTCTTCCATGCACACACCCACATACATACACATGCACATTCATACAACACATTGCACAGTCAGACATTTAATTCCCCCCGAGACACTGGGCTGAACTGGATTGCACACATACCAGTCAATAAGCTAAACAGGACAATGGCTGTTGTGCTTATCACAACTGCTCCATCATTCTGCATTATCGTTTCTAACACCCGCCGTCTGCACGTAGAATTTTTGAACTGATATGTGGATGTGATTTTATTTATTCCTTTTATTTTTATACATTCGCACACCTCATGTTTCCTCCTGATAAACAACATTCGCCAAAGAAAGTCTTTCATTGTGCAGGCAAATTTGTTTTTAGCTGTGTGCTTTGACTTGACTTGTGGAGGCACAGATGACATAGCCATTTTTGAGACAGAGTTACAGACTGTTTGCGTTATCCTCTGAATTTTATCTGTGAAAAAAAAAAAGATGCAAAGCCATTGCATGACGAGGCTGATAACAGTTCAGGAGGGACTGATGCTTTGGGGTTTGTCAATCTGTCAGCGACGGTGTATAAGGTGTGTGCTTCTCAAAGAAAAAGGACTGCCTTGTCCTTTGTAGTTACAAGTTATAGATGTTATAATGAACGTAGAGTTTATCGTCACTTGCGCTCTGTTTGTTTCTTTTTTGAGCTTTTCCCAGTGCTCCTTGGTCTTTTTTTTTCTTCCCAGGGATTACTTTGATCGTCATGGGAGCGATGGCATTTAAAACAGTCATAATTTTAGGAGCTGCACTATTAAAACATAGCATTAAGGGAAGCCTTGATAGTACAATCATCATTAATTAATGGTAACTTGTCAGCCAGAGATCTGATATTTAATGAAGCTTAGTTTAGTGTACTAAAGGCAGCGTCTGACACAGTCTGTGCACACAGTCAGATTACATAAAGTGGCTGTGTACTTTGAGTACGCTTTGGTTATCCTGATGCTCGTCAAAACAGGGACAGCAGATACTGAAGCTTCGCTGTTTGGGGCAGGCTAACGGCAATGGGTCCATACTCAGTAAGCATAGAAGGACATGAGCAGGAAGTGGAGGGATGATAGAGAGACCACACTATCCTGTATGTCAACATGTCCTGTTGTGTTGACCACATATTTACATGTCATCAATCCTTCTTATCTCCATCCTTAGCTTGTACTGTTTAAGATATCTCCAAGAGGCCAGGAGGGAGGGGGATGTGGGAATGATCCATGGTGTCCTGTGTAGAAAACAGTGACCTTTTTCTTTAAGATTTTGCCAGCTCCTCCCAAATACCAATAGTGTGGTGCCATAGTTTAGTTGATAGTAAGAATATGGGCCTCTACTCTGTTTAAATAAAGCCCATCCAATCCTTGATGGTTCTCTTGGTCCCACAAGAGATTGAAATGGTCAGTGATGCTCAGTTTTGAACCACATATGGAAGAAAACCAGGTATTTACGCCAGTGAGGGGGTGAAATGTTTATTTCTTCTCCCTAAGGTGAGGGTTAGACCTGACATAATCAACTGGACTGAGCTGAGGTTTGTTGTAGAATATCCATTTTGTGTACTACGGGATGAGTGCCAGTTGTTTAGTGTAGTGTTTAGACTGAGTACCAACCTCCAAAACTGGCATTTCCTAAATGGTCACTTGAGGCTGGCTCCAAAAGCAAGTCAGTCCCCATAGACCTCCATGTTAAAATGCCTTTACTTTACAGCAGAAATAAACAGGTTTTTAGTATCTATAGCTAATTTCCCTGTTCAATTTTATGTAACTTACCCATTTAAATTCTAATAAAGCATAAAATGATGCTATAATTAAGGGTGTAGCCAATGAGTGGAAGGTGGGGGCCATCATGGGACAGTCCATGGTCCACCTCAGCTCCACCTTTGCTCCACCTCGTAGCAGCTTTTGGTCTATTGTTTACCTTCAGGTGCCACCAAGAGATGTTTCTTGCAGCCAGTTGTCAAACTATAACTTGGCTATCAAGCAAGCTCGCTTCATTTATCCTTTATCTATCACTATTCCTATTAATATGTATGTGATTAATGAGAATAAAAAAACAGGCGAAAAGCAGCTCCAGCTATCTGCTTTCAGTCCAGTGGAGGATTTGGTTGGTTCTTCTGTTTTGTTTTACAGCAGTTGGCATCAAGAATGTTTCTTTGTTCCTGGTTTTTGAGCTAAAGTGAGTGAAGTTCATGATAGTACACCGCCATGTTTCGATAATGCTACCAAGAATGGCGCATATATGCTATATATGGCATCCTTATTCAAGTGAATTAAGGATGAATCACCTTCATGTACGAATCAAACATCAATAATAGCAGGTTTTTACTGATGATCCATGATGACGAACAACGATGGAGCCAGAAATGCATGACAAGAATAGCGTACAGAGACCTCCCCAAAATTGTACTAATCATGTTTTCAGGGGTGTTCATGTCTCATTAAGAGGAGATAAGCTCCCAGTGGCTTCCCTGTACCCTGCTGGTGGGCTCAGCTGTATCACAGGCTGTGTCTGCACAGGTCTCAGTGTTTGGTTCTGAACTAAATGAACGCTCGCTGAGTCATTTGGATCATTGACAGGTAGCTCATCTTGAACAGTATACCTGTTCTCTGGCCAAACTTCTGGTGAGACATCAGTGGTACTGTGCTTGTTGCTTCTGACTCATCTTTTATCCTGCACAATGTCTTTCCAGAGTTTAGAGTTTGATACTGCAGAAACAGAACAGGTCTTTTGTCTCCAGTTTAGCCAGTAGCACATGTCCACATTTTTCTTCATCTCTCTTCACCGAGTTCAACTTCCTTTCTAAAGCTCAAAAATTGCCCGGAAGGGGTGTTGTTCCTCCGCCTGCAGTTTCTATTTATAAAAAAAAAAAAAAAAGCTAAGCTAACTGACTGTTGTTGAGTGTAATTCTTGACACAAAAAGCACATTTCTAAAATTTTGAACTAAATACACATTAACAACTTTTCAGCGTCAGCAAAATGGTTCTTGTGATTCTGCATCAGTACACACGTCTGACTATCTGAGCTGAGATAATACATAGTTTTATGAATTGTATGCCCTCCAGCCTGAAAAAAAAAAAAAATCATGCCAAACCCTCGAGCTGTTCGCTACAAAAAGAATTGCTACGCCAGAAGTGCTCTGGGACACTCAGGGGATTGACTGGTTCAGTTTGGATAAGCAACAACTATACAGGCACTTTAATGTGCCCATCAGGCTTTATGACTCACCTGTCAGCCACAAAGAAACAAGATCAAGACAAGGATAGAAACAACATGTTCCAGGAGAACAAAGTTAAGATGTAATTAAACAAAAGTATGTGTGTGTATTTATCCAGATTGAGCCCTGAAGCACTTTGGGTATAGCAGTTTCTTTTTTTTTTTTCCTGGTACATGTGCTTGTTGTTTTGTCATTATGTGTCCCCAAAGTTTTGTGCTAGAAAACTATGCAGTGTGAGTACAACGGTGTTGAACTTCTTGAGGTCATTAGGAATCAGCAAGCTGCAGAAACTGCTAATAGGACTCGATGCCATCTACTAAATTTAATGAGTATCTACAAACAATGTGGATGTTTGACAGACAGACAGTTTGTTATTAGAAACACAACGAGCTTAAGTGTGCTGGCAAAGCAGAAAGAACGCATTGATTGGTGATTGTCTGTCTAAGTTGACGAGGCTTAACTCAGTCGCTTTGAAGAGCACTGACTCCCAGCCCGGTTCTTACCTGGGAGGCCGTGATCTCGTCCTCTCTGCATGTTCATTGAAGCCAGGTCCATGCGCTCGACTGAATTCATGAGGATCAGCCTCTCTGTTACCTCCTCTGCCACCAGCATTTTTGAGCTAGCAACTGATGCTGCACTTCCAATCATACCTCTCAGGATTGGTTCAATCCCACCTAGACACAAACACAGCATTGGCCATTTTTCCATTATGAAATATGCATTTTATTTTATGTATTTCAGTGGGACGCTGTTAAGACTGCAGCTTTGCTTTTTTTTTTTCTCTCTCTGGAAAACGAAAAGATAACAGAATGTGATGTTGCAAAACTGCAGACTGCTCATTCATTTTTACCAATCCAGCCTATATATAATGCAGGGCTTAACCAAAATGAAAAGAAAAACAACATATGGTCGGTGAGTCGTGTTTTCTCTGGATGGATTGCTCTCTTTGTTGCTGCTCAAAAAACAGGTTTGTGTATCACTCCTGGGCTTGGATTTGCTGCTTCCCCTGGGCTCGCTGGTGTCCAAACAATTTCATTTGAGCAAATAGGATGAATAGACTGTTGGGGATGAATGCACTATTTATCATAACAATACATCGTTTTATAAAAGTAATGCTCCTGGTGCTCGGTGGTCTGACTGCTGAACACTGTATTACTGCAGTGAGGCAGGAACTACGGCCACTGAAGGTCAGCAAAACATCTGGTGTGACGTTAAGGTTGCATAATCTATACTTGAATGTAAACTAGACAATGTCAGGGAAAAAAAACAGTGTCTTATTCACACAGATAGGAATAGATAGGAATTACAGAGGAGGAGGGATCATTGTGCATAGGGCTGGCACCTCTAACTTTCTCCATCATCTGTATCTGAAGTTATCTACAGTTGAGCAGACAAATTGTACTTTTTTTGGATGTGATTTGAACTGTCCATGTGTGGCTAGAGAGCTTCCTATCAGGCCAGTAACTGATAACTGTGCCATTAGGGATACTTATTGCAGTAATACATGATGTGAAATGGTAAAGTGGGGGCTGAGCTGTGAGGCTGAGAAGACTAGACTTTGTTTTAACCTCGTCATGAGGTTAGTGTGGGATCCATGGAACTATCCACCCAGATTACATTCCTTAGCAGAAATACTGCTGGAGGAGCCTCAGTGAAGCAACATGAGGCTGGATGTGTGAATGAAGCAGTTGTAGTTGTTTTTGGGTGACACATAGACAGACTCTGACTTAGTGGCAGTAATATAAGATCTGAGTTAGATGATCAGAGACAAGTTAACGACAACCAAAAGTCTGGATGGTGATACAGAGACACTTAGAATGAAAGGAGGAAACAACTCCAACTTATCTAAGCCCTTCAGATACAGGCCTCTGGATCTGTACAATCTGAGAATGTTCTCTGTTATTTATATTGACACCATGTTGTCATCATGTTCATGTCCTGTGAACTGTGACATAAAGATCTGTTGTGCTCTCAAAGGCTAATGTGATCTTGTTTGCTTAATGTGAACTTGACAAATTGGATGCTGTCGCTACCATTCAGTCTGTCTCAACATAATGCTGAGCATCAGGTTTTAGTAAATGAAAGGAGCACATTGATTTGATTGATGATTTTTGGTTTCAAATTTTGTTCTTGGAGTGTAGAATTTCCTCGGTAGTGGTGGCAACTAACACATTGTTGGTACTGTGGAGATATTTGTCACCTGAATGCGCAGCTCCCATCAACAATAGTGCATTTCAGTCCAGTCCTCAACTTTTTCACACTAAACAGGCACAGTTAGCTACTAGCTGCTTAACACAGTGGAGCATTTAGCTGGAAACAGGCAAAAATTCTTCTAATGAGTTGGTAAAGACCAGTAGCTAGGCATGAATATTAAACTTAACTTCCCAAGTGGCCAGAAATATATTCAAAATCAATGATAACGTTGCTGATAATTGGATCTGTAAATTAGCAAATGTTGTTTGCAACATCATCTTGATTATTTTAAGGTCAGTGTTCAAAAGTTGTTTCTACAGCACAAGGCTAAAAAAAAAATCTGTTTTGCAGCTTTCAGTAGTTTATGAGTAAGAAGTTTACTACACTCTCATTATGAGGCCAGTTACGGACATCTTCAGGAGCAATTCACCCCATCTGTATTGTTCTTTTTTTGTATTATTTTGTGATTTTGAGCTTGTTGGTGTAACAGTGAGTTACATGGCTGAATTAGAATATATGCTCCTTTGCTGGGTTTCCTGAGATGTTAATACGACCCCAACAACACTGAGAATAAGAGCAAGGTTGAAAAACATCAGAATTTCCCATAAATTTGTCAACTACAAGTAAGCCATTAACAGTGCATCTTCTGAATATGACAGATATTAAGGGCTACATAAGTAAGTAATAAGTAATAAATAAGTAATGTCATGACGATGAATGGAAAAGGTCTCTGCAGCCTGTAAGACAGATTATTACACCTCCTGTAATGAGTCTCCTGTGGCTCGGTGCACACCGTACAGGTCCTGTGCGAGGTGTGACATATAGGTGCAGGTTTTCATAGTCAGTAGATATAAAAAAAAAATGTCATCTAGTGAATCTCTGAAATTGCAAGAAACCAATTCTTACACTAAGACAGACTTTGTTGCTGTAGCTGACCTAAATAGAGTATTTCCCCCTTTTCCTCTTTATATGCTGTGTTTAATGTGCGTGCAGGATATGTTATTATTTCCAACAGGCAGCTTCATAGGAGTGCACTGACCTTCGTTGACTATTCTCCACGGACTGAAGAAAGTAGCGTGCATTCTCAAGTGGCAGAAGCGCTCGTGCTCCTGGAAGCTCTCGTTCAGTCTCGGGAGGATCGGGGAGACGGTACCGTGGCCGAACCTGAACGCAGCTGTGGCAAACACATTGGCGGCGGAGGGGTTCACAGTCGGATCGTATCCCCTGTAGGGTCCGATGAATTCTTGGAATGACTCCGAGCCAATAATCTTTGGGAGATAATCTCTCATTGTTATGATCTGGGAGTTAAAAAAAAAAAAAAGAGAGCGAGAGAAGGAGGACATCACAAAGAAGGAAAGAGTCTCTGTTAGGTAGTGATGTAACACATTTTGTCTGCATGATTCCAGAATATCTAACACGTCCTCGAAGGATGTTATTATACCGTGAACATGTCTGTATACAGCCAAGAGGAATCCCTGTAGGATTCCCAGAGAGATGACTATTTTTGTAACATCCCATCGCTTGGACATATGATTGCACATGTGTTCCCTCATGGATCACCGCAGCGAATTTCATCTGACCTCATCACTATTTATAAAGGACTCAGCTCAGCACCTGAATCTTAACACACGTCACACAAATGCACACGCGCACACACACACGGATGCAAACACACGCATTAAGTGGGGTCACATTTGGTGTCACGTAACATGAAATGCTTCGTAGATCGGATGAGACGAAACGTAACAACAGCTGAGTCCAGTGTGAAGACAACGGGTTCAAGAGGAAGCTGTTCAGGCAGGAATGATGGCAAAGGTGGAGAACTGTACTTCAGTATGTAATCTGACTAAGACGAGTTAAGGAGGCTAGCGCCGTTCAGGTTTCGTGTGGCCCAAACAAGCTTCACCAGTCGGATGGGGCAGCCTGGGAGGTGAAACTCAGGGCAAAAAAACACAGGAAGAAGCCTACAGAAATCACTAAATGCGTTTCAGATGGGTGTAGCAACATCTTAACAGCTGAGTTTAGTTGGTAAGTGGATAAACGATAATCAGGGAGGTCTTATTTTGACAAACAAAAATGTTTTTTTTGCTAACAATTGTTGCATTGCATGTAGATTAAACCGCCTTTTGCCTGCGACCCCCGACGAAAACACCACGTTAGCTGGTTAGCTGCTGTTTGCAGATTCTGCCTTTAAACTTCTCAGGTGATTTATTTTAGCCCAGGGAGGGTCAAAAATGTTCAAAAAATTTGTGCAGCAGAACGAGTTTTATCTTCCTTCCTACCCAAATAATGTCAGTACCCTTCAGTTATATCTTCTGACACTTTGAAGGAGGGGCAGAACCTGGAGGCTGGGAAACACTGGATTAGGCTGCATGACTATGTATGAAGTACACCGCATCCAGCCACAATAGAATGTGATGGTGGAAGCATATTTTTGATGATATGCTTGTATGTAAGTCAGACCTTTACTTGTTATGCAGTGTTTTTAGACCGCTCTAAGTAAAAGATTGCATCCGTGTATTATTTATGTGCATGATGCATCCATACACCACACTGCAATTTGTACAAATCCACTAAAGGCTACATCTCATTGACCCTTTTTCCATTTTATGAAGCATAGCACGTGTTTTTAGAATGACTTCCACCTTTTGTCTGGTTTCTATTCATTTTAGCTACAATACACAAACTACCTTGAGACTTGCGGTTTACTGCTCAGCCTATAATGTGACCCAGTTGCATCATAAGAAGTGTACAGTTTGTGGAAGCGTGGCACAAACTGTACTAAAAGTCAGGCGATTACAGTTTTTTCTGCCTTAATTTGTCTGTTTGCAGAAGCCCCCACAACTTCCCAACAGTGCTATAGTGAATTCTAGAGTGTCCTTTTCATAAGGGGAAAGGGCAAACTGGCATTATTATTTTTATTTTTGCTTATTGTTTTCCACTGAATGCAACTTTCTGGCAGCTATAGCTCACAAGCACAGCGCTGCTCTGAGACTGCTCTCTTAGTCAATGGACTGAAACACCCTAAACGAAGCAGGTCAGGGTTTATAAACTGTTGAAGCTTTTCACAATAATTCCCCAGCAATGTCCTGACCACTTTAAATCTAAATAGAACATATCGATATTGTCTCTGTGCATTTCAGACTGGATACGCAACGGCTTTCACAACTGCGCACTGTGATTGAAACGCACGTCAGAATGGAACCAGATGTTGTTCGCTGATCATTTTTATTTCCTGTTTCCTGCAAATAATAGGCTTTCAGTCTGTATTGAAATGGCTTCTGACCTTTCCGTTTGTTTGTTCTGCAGGCCGTATACAGTGATTTTTTTCAAGTGGCTGCCTACGGACAGTCAGCTGGAAAGAAAGTATGAATAGTTTCATCTGCATTCTCCCTCGGCTGCTCCCACTGATTCAGCAGCAGGTTCACATTACTGCTTATACATGACAAATATGTAATGATTCAAATAATAATGCAAAGCTTTTGTCTGACGCATAAATGCACCCAGAAGGCTTTTCAGTAAGATGTTTCATATGGTAACCTAGCTATGACTTCTGTCCCTACAAAAAACCATATTCCAACATCATATAGCTGGAGGGATGTGTTTAAACACAGCTACTGTCTCTTTGTTAATGCTCTATGTGACCTGGTATGGACGAGGTAATGTCTGGACAAGGTCAAGGGGTATTTCAGCATCATCTCAGAGCCACATCCAAACCTAAAAGCATTTTCAATGGATTTTTATCCAAAACGTACCCTGCATTGCAAATGTACTCGATGTAACAAGATGGAAAGGCAACAACGCATGTTCTTCGATAAGATATTAAAGAGATATTTTAGTCTGTCCTTTCATTTATGCTAGCTATCTCCAGTTCCTGACATATCTCTGATCGAGTGCCTGAATATTTGAAAAAAGCCACCTCTTGATTCATCCATTTTGAATAACTTCTACCTAATAACTAAAACTTATGTCTTGGAAAAAATAGGATCTCATTGACTTCATAAAAAGCAATATGCTCTTCGTAAATTTCTGTCTGGTTTCAGAGTGTGTCAGAGCACTTCCTAACTTTCTCAATGAAATTCTTTTCACAGCTGCCAGTGGCCAAATGTCTGTTTGATTTCTTTTCGATTTTACTGGGATTTTTTGATACAATTTACAGCATTACTTTAACTCTTTCTACCATGTAGGACCCAGTTCCAGGGCCAGGCTGTGTCTGTTATTAACACGTAACCTATAGCTGTTTGTAGGTTATGGAGGGCAACATTTTCAATAAATAGGCAGCCTGGTGTTAGTATGGTTAAAATGTATGTACAGTACTGTTACTGTAAACTAGCTGTTCTCTTATCCATCGAGCCAAGGATTATTCATTTTGGTCTTACAGTTGTGAATCTGTTACTGACTGAGTTTGGATATATATTGTTTCAATTAAATTATTGGTAAATAACTAAATAAAATAGCCTATGGCTTAAAAGGTTTACTGATCACTTTAAGAAGTAGGTAAGTATTTCCTGTACAGTTTTAATCCTGTCTTTCTAGGAGAATCTTCTATATGGCCACAGGAGATTATAAATCCTCGGTTCCGTAGGTTATACGTGGAGTACCTCAGGGTTCAATCCTCGGCCCATTTTTATTCTAAATTTAAAAGCTGCTGTAGCTTTGGTTGATAACTTTTATGCAGACAACTTCTCTTTTGATTCAGCAACACAACAGTCTTGCCAATTGGCAGCCATCTTGGTAACCAAGCCGTCATTTTGGTCTGACAAGACTAGTTCTCTGTTTAAATAAATGGGATGAGAGTGGCAACTGCAATTTCAAATGTGACTGCGACATAGGGTCTCCATACATGTAATCGCCAGTAAAATCTGACAAAAACAGCTTGAAAAGTTTGGTGACTTTGTCCGAATAGATTTAGAAAGCATGTTTCTCTTTTTTTTTTTTTAGTAACTTCTACTATGTTTGCACAAAAATTAATGACAATGTCGTTGCATTAGCATGATTGGCTGGATGTTTCCCAGTCCAGCTTTCATGAGAGCAGATGATTGGCATTTTAGGAGAAAGGGTGGGACATGTGTCAAACAACTGCCATCTCTGGTGTGACAGAATTCTCTTGTGTAACATCTCAGGCACTATCTATAACAAGTAGCATGATATTAACTGTCATATGAGGTGTGCTGCCACCTCTTGCTTTTGCACCTCTGCAACATTTCCAGTTGTGTAAAAAAAAAAGAAAAAAAAAAGGACCTTTTTCATATAAAAAGAAGCTGTCATTCGTGCCTTCATTACATGTGTTAGAATCCTGTAATGTGTTATATTCCTTTCAGCGAGTAGAGTAAGCTGTTTCTATACAGGAACTTTTGTAGATTGTGATACCCAGATAAGATATAACAAAAAACAGGTTGTCTGACTGATGTGGGTGAGATAGATGTTCTCTGGTCATTTAAATTTGGCTAATACCACTCGAGGACTGGTTGGGGAGAAGTAATGCGAGGGGTGGGAGGCATTCAAGTGTCATATTAGAGCCGTATCCAAACATAAACGCAACAACAAAGTGGCATAATACGTTAGAGTGCTTACAGATGTTAATATTGACTCTAATCAAGGCTGTGATAAAGTGGCAACATGCCCAGATTGTCGCAAACCACTTGCCCAGTGTCACATCGGACATGCTTCAGCCCCTCGTGGCCCTCTAAAGGATAAAGCAGGTAAAGCAAATGGATGGATGGGGGAACTGTCCAACCAGCCAAAAAATGAAAAAATGATTCAAAAGATTTTTCTGAAATATATCTTTAGTTATGAGCAAAACAGACGGCATGATGCCCCAACACCAAACCAAACACAAGTCTGGCATAGATTTGTTGATGTGGTGTCTGGCACACACAGTAACACACAAGCAGGTACACATCCACTGGCGTCTACTAATATATACTTATATAGCTTTAAAAGACTTTTATTGTATATTTTAAGTTATGCTTCATTTCCTACCCAAATTGCAGACTACCTTTGGCCTGGAAGTGAGTGTTTTGGCATGTAATTACTGGCGTAGCACATATCTGAATGCATTAATGTAGTGCTTTTACAGGGACTTGTCAAGAATAATGCAGAATGAAAACCGCATTGTACACAACACTCGCCCTGCGTGAGTCTGTTTGTGGGGAACAGCTGCCGGAGGATTTAAATGGGGAGTGAGTGGGGGGCAGCTGCTGGGATTCAACCATATGGACTGAAAACCACAACAATGAGCTGAAAGCTGCTGAAAGCTGCAAAGGGCTGCAGTTGGATGCGTTTTATCCCGTGGGACAGGATAACTTACAGGCAGACATTAATATTATTCGGTATGCATGTTTTAATCCTGTAATAGTGTCTGTTTATGAAAGTGTAATAGGGAGAGAAAAGCAAAAAAAATGCTTCTGATGGAATCTGTTCTGACAGCGAGCGCTCTGGCCTCACTCA